CTACGGAACTGGAAGTACTTGTTTTAGGACTGCTGGATGTAGTCGAGCACAACGCGCCTAACATTCACCTTTCAAACTCCAATTGCCACTTGATTTAGAGTCTTGATTATCTACCTCCCATTTTTAGCTTAGTGTTATTGAACAGAGATTATGAAAAGGGAAAAGCATTCAAGAGGGCTTGGGGTAAAATGGATCCTTGATTGGAGTTTGGCAACCACGATTTTCAGTTAAAGCTTAGTGTTAGAGTATGAGAAACTCACTGTTCCCAGGTACCTCTGTTGCAATTTTTACCTACTTAAAGACACGTATCTCATTGTATGTACGCGCCGTTTCTTCGGAATCTATCATTATTTTAAAATTCTTCAAAAGTTGCGGAAATAAATACTTCCAGCATGATAAATACAATGGAACAAAGTATTCAACTTTTATAGTAAAAAATGAACTCGCATAGAAAGCACAATCGATAACAAAAGCTTCATGATAAAGTTGGAATCGTTGTGAATACTCGTACCACATAGGCCAATCATCATTAATTCACAATAATTAATCAACATGGAAGTGAGTGTGCAGATCAATGACGTTAAAGGAGTTTGTTAGAACTCCAAATATAGCTCTATAAGTTTTGGTTGGAATGAAGATAACTTGCTGAATATATTAGTAACGCTACAATATCCGAAATACTTCTGCAGGGTACAGAATTGAGATAGAGCTTCCATCTCAGCAATTATTCAACATTTCTTAAGATGTCTGAAGCAATTTCAGCTAAAACCTGAGTTAGAATCAGTTTCTATTATTGCACATCTTTGATCGTAGTTCTGCTTTCAACTTGATGACCGAGTATCTCGAGTCTCAGAGTTTGGCACAGTTTCGTCTGATGTATTCACAACAGCGTTATCATGAGAATTCTCTTCATGGAGCTCCACGTCGTCCAATGACGGTGGTGTTGCTCTAAAGAGAATAGCAAATGTTTTAACAAATGACAAATTTTTTAGGGATTACTTACTGCTCGTATTGAGCATATGAGACGGCATCGTAGATAGTCGGATAAAAGTTTGTCTTAGCGACTGCTGCATAAAGTCCACTTGCTTCGAAAAGTTCTCGAACAGGAGCTGAAAATTTGATTCCAATATTTCTTTCAAACCGATTCTTGTCAATTATTTTTGTATTTTGAATAAATGTACCACATAGTTTTGTTCTTAAATCATTTTAAACAAATAGGCGGTCAGCCGCGGTCGCACGAAATTTGCTAGAAAAGCACTTTAAGGGGGCTTGGCGTAACAAGGTTGGACCACGCCAAGCCCCCTTTTAAGGGGTCGGTTTTATTCGTACTTACTAATCTTTGTTACATTTAAGTGCTTCATACTTTTGGAATAGGTCTTATATTGATGAGTAAAAGTTGATTATTACTCAA